AAAAAAAAAAAAAAACTAAGAAAAACTAAGTAATAAAAAAAACGAAAGCGCAAGGGAAGGGGCAAGGACCGAGAGACGGAGAGGCACCGCCGGCCGCTGGAGATGCTCCGCTCCACCTCCTCGCCTTCCGCGCGGGGCCGACGATTCCCGACGGGAGGTGCCACCCGGCCGTCGGTGCAGGAGACCCCGCGGCGCGCGGGCATCCCCGGCGCGTGTGTCCCCGTGTCCCGCCCCCCCACACCGGCGTCACCGCCCGCACCCGCGTCACGGGGCGCTCGGGGCGGAGCTCCCGCTCTTTCTGTGCGCTCCCCGCGCCCGTCCCGCCCCGGCCGCCCCCCCCCGGCCCCCCGTTTTCCCCACATGTCCGTTTGTTGTCGCCGTCGCCATGGCGCCGGGGGCGGCGCGCCCGAAAAGTGAGGTGATAAGAGGGAGCGGCGGCGACAGGACCGCGCAGTGCCGAGCGGGGCGCGGCGGCGGCGGTGAAGCGCTCCCGGCGCATCCCTCCTTCCATCCATCCCTCCTTCACCACTGGCACCACCGCGCCCCGTCCGTCCTGCCCGGCTCCCCACATGGCCGCGGCTCCTCGGGAAACGCCTCGCGCCGCCGCCCTGCCGGTGCCGGAGCCGCGTTGCCGGGCGGCGGCCGCCGCCTCCTCCTCCTCCTCCTCGTCGTCCCCGCGGCGCCGCTAGCGACCCGCGCCCCGCTTCGCGCAGCGCCGAGGAAGAAGAAGAAAAAGTACCAGGGCGCTCCCGCGGCACCGCCCCGGCGGCGGTGGCGCTGCGCCGGCTCCGTGCGGCTGGACGGCGCGTCCGTGCCGCCTCCCCTCCCTCTGCTCCGCGGCGGCGCTCGGGACCACGGCGGCGGCGGCGGCTCGGCGGGACGCCCCGGCACGGATGCGGTGGGTGCCGGGCGCGGCTGCCGCCCTCCCTMCGTCCATCCGTCCCCTCCCTGCCCGGCCGCCGGCTGACCCCGCTGTGTCTCCCCACCGCAGGCAGCCCCCCGGCGAGTGCGAGATGGCGCTCAGCGGCACGCTCCTTCCCTCCATCGCCACCTTCGCGGCGGGCGCCGCGGGTCGCGAGAAGGCGGCGCGGCCCGCGGGCCCCGGCAACGTGAGTATCGGCGCCTCGGCGCCGCGACACGCACGGGGCCGGGCGGGACGGGACGGGACCGGGCGGGGCGGGGGCCGTCGGGGCGGGCGCGGCGCGGCCGGGGCTGAGCCGTCCGAATGTCCCCGCAGCGCTGGCGGGAGGAGCTGTCGCAGCTGAAGCGGCCGCCGCCGGCGCTGTCGGTGCGGCCGGTGGAGACGCCGCCGTCGGACCTGGAAGGCGCCGCCGCTCTGGGGCCCCGCCGTGACGCCGAGGAGTTCAACGAGCTGCTGGACTTCGACTTCATCCTCTCCAATTCGCTCATGCACCAGGAGCCCGCCGCCGCCGCCGTGGTGGTGGCCCCCGCCGCCGCCCCGGCCCCCACCGCCAGCCCCTGCCCCGCCGGGCCCTTCGCCTACCCGCTACCCCGGCCCGAGCCCTCCGGTCTCCTCTACGGCGGCGGCGGCAGCTGCGACGGGGCGCCCGCCGCCGGGTCCGCCGCGCCCTTCAACCTGGCCGACATCACCGACGTGTCCCCTTCGGGAGGCTTCGTGGCCGAGCTGATGCGGCCAGACCTGGACGCGGTGTACCTGCCAGCGCCGGCCGCGCTGCCGCCGCTGGGCAGCTTGCAGGGCAAATTCGTGGTGAAGGCGGTGGGCGACTACAGCCACCCGGGGCTTAGCCCCAAGAGCGGCCCCGCCGCCCCTCCGCCCGGCGCCGACGGCCCCGGGGCGCCCTACAGCTCCATGCCGCGGATGTGCCCCAAAATCAAGCAGGAGGCCGCCCCGCCKTGCACCCTGGCGCCGCCGCCGCCGCACGGGAGCAGCCCCCGAGGAGCCCCCCAGCACGACTTCGCCCTGGGCAGCCGGCCGCTGCCCGCCCGGAGTACGCCTTCGCTGGGGCCCGAGGAGATGCTGAGCGGCAGAGACTGTCTCCCCRCCACGCCGGGGCTGAGCCACCCGCCGCTGCCGCTGCCCCCGGGGTACCCCCCGGCCCCCGGGTACCCCGCCTTCCTGCCCGAGCAGCTCCCTCCCGGCGCGCTCCAGTACCAAGGTGAGTCCTCTGGTGCTGGGGCAGCGGATGTCCCCGCTTTGGCGCTGGTCCCGGCGGTGCTCACTCCTCCCTGTCCGCCTCTAGAGCTGATGCCGCCGGGGAGCTGCTTGCCCGAGGAGACCAAACCCAAGAGGGGACGGCGGTCATGGCCCAGGAAAAGGACGGCGACACACACCTGTGATTATGCGGGCTGCGGCAAAACCTACACCAAGAGCTCTCATCTCAAGGCGCATCTGAGAACCCACACAGGTTAGTGCCGGCGCCGGGTCTGGGGGATGTTCTGGCCTGAGCGGCAAGGGGTGACCCCCTCGGACCGTGGAAGGACGTGAGCACAGGAGGAGGGCTGAAGGCAACAAAATGTAACTTTCCTGTGCTGGGTTTCTGGGCTTTTTTTCTCTCCCCCCTTGGCTACGTGAAGTCCTGTGCAGTCTTGGCTTGTTGGCTTGACATTTTGCTTCATGGTTCAGAGTGACTCAGTTGTGGGAGCGGGTGGGTTTCTTGCCAAGTCAGAATTTGTTACTTCTCTCTTGCTATGCGTCTAGTTAATTAGCAGGTGGGTGGAGGCCGGCTGGGATTTGTTGCTCCGGATGGTGTTGCCCCCTCTCTGAGAAGGGAGCAGGGCTCGCACAGAGCGCAGCTTTCTTTGCTGGTGGTTCAGCGTTTATAGAGGCACCCCCTCCCTTGGCTGGCTGTAGGGTGGGAGTCGGTGCACCTCTGCAAGCTGTTGCTCCTTTTTTGGGAAAACAGAAAGCAAGAGCTTTGAAAGCAGGCAGCTCTCGCCGAGTGCCTCACCTACCTGTGGGAGAACGKATCCTCCTGTACCAGCATAGTTTAACCGTTGATTGCTGCTGGAATTGGGATAAAACGCGCCCAAAGTGTGTGTATCTGAGCCCAGATTCAAACTTTAACCTCACAAGCAGAGTGCGACGTTGCAGTAACTGAGCTTGTGAAAGCAGGTACAGCTCATGGGTTTCGCCAGCGTGGGCATTCTGTAACAGTGACTAAATAATCTGGGAATTTGCATAATTTGAATCCCCGGGTTGTGAACCCGATTCAGAACTTTCTCCTGAAGAGGAGATGGGAAAGGGAAAATACACTGGCACTGCAGTAGTTCGGCTGCATCTTCAGCTAAATGGCACCAGGGGGAAAAAAGATCGGGAAAGCGGATGTCTACTCCGAGCCAGTCAGCACCATCCCCAGGATGTGTAGGACAGGGAGTTTGTAATTGCTAGGGAAGCTCATCTTGCCATCAACAGTGGTTTCTGTATAATGAAGACACTCGTAAGACTGAGTCCTTAATCAAGCTGAGCTAATGAAAACAGTTTCCGGCTGTTTTTTAATTCTTGAGACCTACAATTATCTAAATACGTTGTCTGCTGAGCTATTTCTGGTTGCTGTTTGATTGTGTAATACCACCGGCAAAAATACACACTCGGGTGCTCTGAAATCTTGTGTGCAAGGCAGCGAAAACGAGCATTTTAATGAAGATTTAAGTGACACCTACATTTCCTAGCACCTGCACATCTCGAAAAGACGTGTTAGTATAAAATAGTGTTGCTATTTTAGCCTTCATAGTTTGTTTGCAGCTGCTTTGACAAGTTTRTTGCATTTGATCACCCATTGTTTTATCCAGTACAAGTGCAAGAAAGAAGGTGCCACAAAATAAAAAAAAAACCTAAATGATGTGTCTCATTGCTTGGCTTTTGTCTACAGGTGAGAAGCCTTATCACTGTGACTGGGAAGGCTGCGGATGGAAGTTTGCCCGATCTGATGAACTCACTCGTCACTACAGAAAACACACAGGCCACCGCCCTTTCCAGTGCCAGCGGTGTGACAGAGCCTTTTCCAGGTCGGACCACCTTGCCTTACACATGAAGAGGCACTTCTGATTGGGAAAGCAGTGGATCTTTCCCCTGACTGCCGCAGAGATTCAGTATTTACAGCACAAGGACTGTCTTCCACAAGATGGGGAGAACTCATTTTAAGCACTACAGATAATCGAGGTGAAGTCTTCCAAAGAGTGGAAAAGAGGGATAACTCCATACGGACATTACAACTTTCTTTTTTATAGTTATTTGCTTAAGAGAACCAAAGACATTGGGGTCAATGACTGGATCTTCTATCATTCCATTTGTAAATCCAACTTGAATTATTTCTGGACTACAGAATGCCAAGGAGTGACTGGAAGTCACGGATATCAGGGTTAAACAGACTGTTTGTAGTTCGGAGGGTGGGGATATTACACAGGGAAATGACATTCCCTTCATTTCCTTTCAATGCAATATTAGATGTACATGTCGTCTTGTACTTTTCTTTTTTTTTTTTTTTTTTCCTTCTAAAAGCCATTACAATGTTAAAAGAGGAGGAAAAATTCAGGTACAGAATTATATTTTAAAAGCCTATTTCATGGTGCTTAGTGACTGTTGGTTCTAGAGGTACCAAAAACAGGAAGCCAAAGTTCTCAAACTGCTGCATATCTGACAAGGAAATATTTTTTGTCTTCCGATTGCCAATTATGACCTAAATCAGGTGAATAACCCTGGTTTAACTTTTTTRTTAAGAAAATAACTTTATGCAGACAGTCTGTAATGCACTGTGGTTTCGATGTGCAATAGTTTGTACAATGGTTTATTCCCAAATATGCCTTAAGCAGAACAAATGTTTTCTATATAGTTCTTTACATARTAAATATGTAATATAAATTTAAGCAAACTTCTATTTTGTATATTTGTAAACTACGAAGTAATAATGAACATTTTGTTGGAATTTGTATTTTGCATATTCAAGGTGAAAACAAGTTTTAAATAAACCTGTAATATTTTATCTGAATGGTTGCTCTGGTTTTTTTCTGTGCACAGACATGGCCAAAGAGAGTTCATCCGGTATTTGTTGGTGGTTGAATTTATCAAGGCATGGAGGGGGGTGGTGGCAAACAATTGTAGTCTCAAGAGTCTGAAAGACAGGATTGTGTAAGTGCAGTGCTGATGTCACATCTCTTTTTAGGGAAAAAGGTGTATGGAAAATTTTTGCTCTGAATATTGAATTGCCTCTTACCRCACCTTTGTGGTGAAACTGTAGTTTACCATTTTTTAAGTAACTTGTGTTTACTTTTTTAGAGGACACACTTCTGTTGGGGACATAAGACTTCATGTATTTGATGACAACAAATTCTAGAATTTTTTTTATTTTTTTTTGGTAGCAGTCTTTTCAGCAGTGAAGGAATCCCAGCTTCATTGCCTCGGATTTCTTCGGCAAGCCAGTGTAACCACTTTAGTGTGAGTGAAGGAAAAGCCACTGAGTAATGCTGAGCAAAAAATAAACCTGGCTCAGAGAATAAAGAGTGCTTGCACAAAATGCCGCATAAGTATCACCTGCACGGAATTTCCTTTTGAAACCTGCTCTGTCCTGGGAATCCAATGAAGAGCCAGGATTCCTGCAGGAATGCGCACGCAGCAGGGAAGGCTGACCACGCAGGGACTGAGGACGTGTTGCTGCGAGGACCCCGGCGTTCCTCCAGCAGCATGTGCTGTGCGGTGAGCCTGCCCCGGGTCATCACCAGCCCCGTGGTGCTTCTCCCTTGGTACCTCATTGTTCCAGCTGCCTTACAGAATGTGTAGCAAACAGATGATTTCCACATTAATGCCTGGTGAATAGGACCTGTTTTTCTCACTACTCTTCGTTAAAGGGAAGAAACTATTCAGCTAGTCAGAAATGTCTGTCAGCTAAGAATTTGGGTGTATGTAATGTCCAGTAAAGCTGAGGAAAAAAAAATAGCAGGCAAAAGGCTTCTTTGTAGTAGTTAAAATAGAAGTGGCAATATCGAATTTTTGTGTCTTAATGTGCCTTTGGAATGCTACTAAAGTTCACATTTTGATGTGGTGTTTGTGTGGGGATTGGTGCCATTTCTCCCTAAGTTTGTGTAAGTAATATAATGAAGCAGAGAGTATTTCTCACCCCTTATCACCCAGGCATGCTTTGTTCAACTGAAAGCTATCTTTGTTGATTTGGTTTATAGGTAACACAGGGAGTAGGGAATGTCTTGTTTGGTTTGCAAATAGCAAGTATTTAAAGCTAAATTAAAGTTATGAGTCATCCTTTATCTGGAGCCCTTTCCATGTGAAAACTTTTTTACAATTCAAGCAGTCATTTTTTTACCTCCTCTGTTGCTCTGCCTGTGAATTCTGGATGAGGGATCYGAGGTCAGCACTGAAGCTGGCATGTGCCGAGGGCGTGAAGTTGTCCCATCCAATAATGCCAAGGCATGCTTGGTAGGTTTTGGATCTCCTCAGCACCTCTCACATTTGTGCAAAGTCTATGTTCTAACACATCTGTAAGCACTGAAATCTGACTATTTCATCTGAGGAACTGGTTTCTTCTGCTTTTCAAGCATTCTGTCATTATGCACCCTTAAACATTTTTTGTAAGACGCTGTAGCATTTAGTAAGCCATCCCCTTTAGCCAACTTCAGTTTCTGCTTGATTTTTTAATGGACCCTAGGTTTCTAATTGCATGAATAATGGCMTTCTTGAAATGGGGCATTGTTTCCCACTTCACTAGATTTTTTTTTTCCCCTGATCCTAATCAAGCTGTCCTCATATATGAATTTCCAAACTGAAAGGGACACGATTGTGACTTCGTGTTTGAAAGGAAATGCTGCTGTGCCTTAAACCATTTCCAAATTTCTACTCCTGTATTTTTTTGGGACAGGAGCCAAGTTTTTGCCATACAGCATGCAACCCATGAGAGGCAGTCCTTACTCTTAAGGAGGTCCCTGGGGGAAGCACTGAAATGAGCAGTGCTGTGCTAAGTAGAGCTGGAAATAGCTCGYTGTGTTTGCCACCTGTTTTCGTTGTTGTCCTGGAGTTGCACTTTGGTGCAGGATTGCACACGGATGCAGTGAAACAACACATGTATCAAAAAGCGTATCTCATAAAAACATATGTAAAACACTGAACAGTCTTGTAAGTATGTCTTGAAAAACAAGATTTGTTCAGCATTGCTAAAGCTGTACTCATGTGCCGCTTCGCTGGGGCATCTAAAGTCAGGCTTTGAGGTTATTAGRGGTGGCCTCTCTGACATGGGGTGAGCACCTCCTGAGCTGCCCCAGAGCACTATTTCAGCTACCGAGGGCAAAAGGTCTTGCGGCAGGGACTTATCTCTGCAGTCAAACTACAGCCATCCTTAATCCTGCTCACCCCTAGCCCAAATCTCTCCGGAGCACACTTAGCATGTGTAGAGGGAGCTGTTTAAAACAAGATGGCACACGCCTGCCTGTCGAGTGCCAACTATTCAAAAGTGGCATCAGAGCAAAAATCCTCTCAGAGCCGCAATGCTTCTGTGCACTTGTCTGCTGCACACCACAGCCTGGGAGTCTGGGTTTGACTGTGACCCRGCACGAATGGCTTCGGCCATCCCTTGTCACAGGGAGGGGTACTGGAAAGAGAGTTTTCTTTTCCCCCTGTGGTGGTTACCAGATCCTGCTATGGCTGAGCTCGTCTGTGAATCTCACAAGGATTTATATTAAGCTGATATGAATCAGTGAATTTCATTCTCCTTCTCTTTAATAAGGGAAGATCAGAGACTCCTGCGGTTAATCACCCCGAGTGCTAACGGTTCGACGGAATTAGTTTACACAGGTTTCCTATGGGAGTGTGCTGGATCTGGGAGCTAGCCTGCTTTCACTGAAGTCCCTGGCAAGCGCTTTTAACGGCATTTGAGTTCAAGAATTTCCAAATTAACCTGTGTTTATCCATGGGCTTTCCTCTGCTGAGCGCAGTCGGGTTGAGTGCTCTAAGGCAGTGGGAAAATAGGAATGGGTTGCAAATGGGGACAGACAGACCAGCAGTTACACTGTAGGATTTTGGCAGGGACCTGGATGTGGTAGAAGTGCTGGTAGGAGGAAGTAAACCCAAGGAAGAGTGAGSAAAACTGATAGGGAGAGGGAGAGGAACACCACCACCACCACCACCAAAACCGGCGCTGCCATGTGTTGACTCAGGCTCGCCAGGAGAGCTCTCCAGATTAAAGAGCTGTGTTTAGGCACGGTGGATGTATCTCTGGAGACCAAGGAGATGAGTGTGTACTCAGAAGAGGGGAAGGCCCATCATTCACYGAAATTTAATTGAGGTCACATTGGCTTGGAGCCACTGGGTAACACACCCACATTCCCCTGTCTGCCATGCACCTGGATGACTCACGTTTTCGTCTGCCCTTCGCTYTTGCCGTGACTTTACCGGGGGAGCATTTTCATTACCGCTGAAGGCATTGCCACCGAGCGCAGAAATTGCCTCTGCGGCGTGGAAGTGGGCGGTGGTGGTGTTCCTGCAGCCCTGTTCTCCGCCCTGGATGCATATGGGTATCTGCTAGTCTCTTTTTCACCTTTGGATGCATACCTGTGAGCCCTCAAGGCTACAACCTTAATGGTGTGAAAGACAGGAGGGGAAAAAGTGGCTTGTGCTTTATTAATGTTTATTCTATATTTAGAGCGTGTGTTCCCAGAGTTTTACAGGAGACAGGCGGCCCTAATAGCTGTTCACAAGAGGCATTAGGCAGCTGCACCTTTTCCCTTCAGTGATGTTTTCCTTGCTCTTGGAGTTGTGASTTCTTTTGTAACCAGGATGGTGATTTTCACACAGACCTGGCTAGTTTGGGGTCAACCTCATGACTTGCTRATTAAGAAGGAGAAGTTTTAGGGAACATGGAACACGCCAGGCCGCTTTCACCGTGGAACCTGGGTGAGCAGAAGGGTAATCATGTGCTGCTATCACCGCAGCCATCTTGCTGCAACCCTGAAAAGTTTTGCATGGTTTTGCTTTGGGTACAGCGTGCTTGTTTATCAAGCACAAGCTAAGGCTTGCTTAAATCTTGCCATTCAAGTTCTCCACTGTTAAACTTTCAGGCTTTATTCAACAAAATAACCCAGCTTCCCTGTGTTATTTGGTTGAAGGCCTTTAATTTTAAAAAACAGGTATCCCGCAGTTATCCAGATGATTTGCCCCACTGCCACAGAATTGGGAGTGATCTGTCAGGAAATGCCACACCACCAGTGCACAGGGGTTCATTTACTGGGAGCCTCCTTGATGGTGCTGAGTCTGTCCCAGTGGCACGGAATCACAGAGCCACAGAATCACAGAACTGCAGAGCTACAGAATAAACTGAGTTGGAAGGGATCCCTCAAGGGTCATAGAGTCCAGCTCCCAGCCCTGTGTAGCACCATCCCTGAGTCCCACCATGTCCCCAAGTGCATTGTCCAGATTCTTACTGAACTCTGTCAGGCTGCTGCTGTGCCCATTCCCTGGGGAGCCCATTCCAGTGCCCAACCACCCTGTGGGGGAMGAACATTTCCTCATCTCCAGCCTAAACCTGCCAGACCCAGCTCCAGGCCAATTCCCAGGTTCTGTCCCTGTCCCAGAGCAGAGCTCAGCCCTGTCCCTGCTGTCCCCTCCCGAGGAAGCTGCAGAGCTGCAGTGAGGGCTCCCCTCCGGCTCCTCCTGTGCAGCCGCACAGACCCAGAGCCCTCAGCCGCTCCTCACGGGACCCCTGCACACCCCTCACCATCCCTGTGCCTTCCTTTGCACGCTCTCCGACAGTTTAATGCCCTTTTTACCCCGTGGCACCAGAACTGCTCACAATATCCCAGGTGAGGCCTCCCCAGACCAGAGCAGAGCGGGACAATCCCCCCCTGGCCCGGCCGGCCATGCTGGGCCTGGTGCCCCAGGACAGGGATGGCTCTCCCGGCTGCAGGACACTGCTGACCCATGTCCAACTCACCACTGACCAGGACACCCAGGACCATCCCAGGTGCAGAATCCATCACATTCCCCTGTTTA